TAGAAAACTAATAGTTTGTAGTTGAACTTGTCTTCTACCAACCTATGCTATATGACATGAATTACAGAAGCATATCTTCATTTCCAGTGTGACACCGATCTCGTGCATCGCATCTTACATCTTCATGTTTCATCATCAAGTTTCTGGTTCACTGCTGTAGGTGTAATACGAGGGTCACGCAGTTACAGGGCGAATGTGGCATAAGGATTGTATGACACACTGTCCTCTGGAACAGATGTGATGTGAGGACACTGTCCTCTGGAACAGATGTGATGTGAGGACACTGTCCTCTGGAACAGATGTGATGTGAGGACACTGCTCTCTGTAACAGATGTGATGTGAGGACACTGCCCTCTGGAACAGATGTGACGTGAGGACACTGCCCTCTGTAACAGATGTGACGTGAGGACACTGCCCTCTGTAACAGATGTGACGTGAGGACACTGCCCTCTGTAACAGATGTGACGTGAGGACACTGCCCTCTGTAAAAGATGTGACGTGAGGACACTGCCCTCCGGAACAGATGTGATGTGAGGACACTGCTCTCCGTAACAGATGTGATGTGAGGACACTGTCCTCTGGAACAGATGTGATGTGAGGACACTGCCCTCTGTAACAGATGTGACGTGAGGACACTGCCCTCTGGAACAGATGTGACGTGAGGACACTGCTCTCTGTAACAGATGTGATGTGAGGACACTGCCCTCTGGAACAGATGTGACGTGAGGACACTGCCCTCTGGAACAGATGTGACGTGAGGACACTGCCCTCTGTAACAGATGTGACGTGAGGACATGTCTTTGTGACACACTCTAAGGAGGAAAGATTTTCGAGACACACTGGTTTTGTGCTGATCGTCTGGAGTTACAGTGGTAAATTGCATCCTGCAGAAGATGTTTTTTCTGGTCATTTCAGAATCGAATGCTTTTCCTCACGAGTATTAATTGAAAAGCTCTTTTTCCCATGATTACTGGGGACAACAATTGAAATTAATTATTGATGAACTTAGCATTGATGCATATCGCCATGAACACGTGATTTAGAACAGAAAACATCGATTGCAAAAGGTGGTGTCATAAGATATTCAGTTTAACGGTTGTCATCATTCTCAGTGATACGTGGTGGAGACCAACAACCTAAGGTGCAGTCGACCTTGACCATTTCACCATTAGGTTTACATAGACTATGCGGACAAATGTATTGATGAACACCACAATATCGCCTTGTTAGAGGAGCAAGTCCTTTGTGTAGTAGATGATGCTTGAAAGGATTATGCTTATGTTTTGTAGATGAGGTGGAGACTTTTGTTAAACTAGCTACTACAGCAGAACGTCGATTTTGTGAACAATTGTTTATACCCTTAACTAACTCTAATTGAAAAATTGTTTATAACTTGAACTAACTCTACGTAAACCTTTTTACATTCATTTGTACGTGTGGTGAATTGTCCTCAATACCCAAATCGTACCTGATCATGAAAACAATTATCCTCACTGCATACCACTAGTTATCTGTTCTTACTGCATACCATCGTATCAATATATGTAGTTATCTGTTCTTACTACATACCATCGTATCAATATATGTAGTTATCTGTTCTTACTACATACCATCGTATCAATATATGTAGTTATCTGTTCTTACTACATACCATCGTATCAATATATGAAGTTATCTGTTCTTACTACATATCATCGTATCATGATATGTAGTTATCTGTTCTTACTACATACCATCGTATCAATATATGTAGTTATCTGTTCTTACTACATACCATCGTAGTTATCTGTTCATACTACATACCATCGTATCAATATATGTAGTTATCTGTTCTTACTACATACCATCGTATCAATATATGTAGTTATCTGTTCATACTACATACCATCGTATCAATATATGTAGTTATCTGTTCTTACTACACACCATCGTATCAATATATGTAGTTATCTGTTCTTACTACATACCATCGTATCAATATATGTAGTTATCTGTTCTTACTACACACCATCGTATCAATATATGTAGTTTTCTGTTCTTACTACGTACCATCGTATCAATATATGTAGTTATCTGTTCATACTGCATACCATCGTATCAATATATGTAGTTATCTATTCTTACTACATACCATCGTACCAGCACATGTGTCGACCTGTTCTTACTACACACCATCGTATCAATATATGTAGTTATCTGTTCTTACTACACACCATCGTATCAATATATGTAGCTATCTGTTCTTACTACATACCATCGTATCAATATATGGGTTATCTGTTCTTACTACACACCATCGTATCAATATATGTAGTTATCTGTTCTTACTACATACCATCGTATCAATATATGTAGTTATCTGTTCTTACTACACACCATCATATCAATATATGTAGTTATCTGTTCATACTACATACCATCGTATCAATATATGTAGTTATCTGTTCTTACTACATACCATCGTACCACCACATGTGTCGACCTGTTCATACTACATACCATCGTATCAGCATATGTGGTTATCTGTTCATACTACATACCATCGTACCCGCACATGTGGGTATCTGTTCATACTACATACCATCGTATCAGCATATGTGGTTATCTATTCATACTACATACCATCGTATCAGCACATGTGGTTATCTGTTCATACAACATACAATCGTACCAGCACATGTGATTATCTGTTCATACTAAATACCATCGTATCAGCATATGTGATTATCTGTTCATACTACATACCATCGTATCAGCACATGTGGGTATCTGTTCAAACTACATACCATCGTACCAGCATATGTGGTTATCTGCTCTGAATACATACCATCGTATCAGCATATGTGGTTATCTGTTCTTAATACATACCATAGTATCAGCACATGTGGTTATCTGTTCTTAATACATACCATAGTATCAGCACATGTGGTTATCTGTTCTTAATACATACCATAGTATCAATGTATGTGTCGACCTGTTCTTACTACATACCATCGTATCAGCACATGTGGTTATCTGTTCATACTACATACCATCGTATCAGCACATGTGGTTATCTGTTCTTACTACATACCATCGTACCAGCACATGTGGTTATCTGTTCTTACTACATACCATCGTACCAGCACATGTGGTTATCTGTTCTTACTACATACCATCGTATCAGCATATGTGGTTATCTGTTCTTACTACATACCATCGTATCAGCACATGTGGTTATCTGTTCATACTACATACCATCGTATCAGTATATGTGGTTATCTGTTCTTACTACATACCATCGTATCAGCACATGTGGTTATCTGTTCATACTACATACCATCGTACCACGACATGTGGTAATCTGTTCTTACAACATACCATCGTATCAGCATATGTGGTTATCTGTTCTTAATACATACCATAGTATCAGCACATTTGGGTATCTGTTCTTAATACATACCATAGTATCAATGTATGTGTCAACCTGTTCTTACTACATACCATCGTATCAGCACATGTGGTTATCTGTTCATACTACATACCATCGTATCAGCACATGTGGTTATCTGTTCATACTACATACCATCGTATAAGTATATGTGGTTATCTGTTCTTACTATATACCATCGTATCAGAATATGTGGTTATCTATTCATACTACATACCATCGTATCAGCACATGTGGTTATCTGTTCATACTACATACCATCGTACCAGCACATGTGGTAATCTGTTCTTACAACATACCATCGTATCAGCATATATGGTTATCTGTTCGTAATACATACCTTCGTATCAGCACATGTGGTTATCTGTTCATACTACATACCATCGTACCAGCACATGTGGTTATCTGTTCTTACTACATACCATTGTATCAGCATATATGGTCATCTGTTCGTAATACATACCATAGTATCAATGTATGTGTCGACCTGTTCTTACTACACACCATCGTATCAGCACATGTGGGTATCTGTTCATACTACATACCATCGTATCAGCATATGTGGTTATCTGCTCTTAATACATACCATCGTATCAGCATATGTGGTTATCTGTTCTTAATACATACCATAGTATCAGCACATGTGGTTATCTGTTCTTAATACATACCATAGTATCAATGTATGTGTCGACCTGTTCTTACTACATACCATCGTATCAGCACATGTGGTTATCTGTTCATACTACATACCATCGTATCAGCACATGTGGTTATCTGTTCTTACTACATACCATCGTACCAGCACATGTGGTTATCTGTTCTTACTACATACCATCGTACCAGCACATGTGGTTATCTGTTCTTACTACATACCATCGTATCAGCATATGTGGTTATCTGTTCTTACTACATACCATCGTATCAGCACATGTGGTTATCTGTTCATACTACATACCATCGTATCAGTATATGTGGTTATCTGTTCTTACTACATACCATCGTATCAGCACATGTGGTTATCTGTTCATACTACATACCATCGTACCAGCACATGTGGTTATCTGTTCTTACTACATACCATCGTATCAGCATATATGGTTATCTGTTCGTAATACATACTATAGTATCAATGTATGTGTCGACCTGTTCTTACTACACACCATCGTATTAGCACATCTGGTTATCTGTTCTTACTACATACCATCGTACCAATGTATGTATGTTTGTTTGTTCGTTTGTTGTTTAACGCCGCACTCAGCAATATTCCAGCTATATGACGGCGGTCTGTAAATAATTGAGTCTGGACCAGACAATCCAGTGATTAACAATATGAGCATCGATCCACGCAATTGGGATACGATGACATGCATCAGTTAACTCAGCGAACCTGACCACCCGATCCCGTTAGTCGCCTCTTACGACAAGCATAGTCGCTTTTTACAGCAAACATGGGTTGCTGAAAATGTATTCTACCCCGGATATTCACGGGTCATATCAATGTATGTGATGACCTCTTCTTACTACATACCATCGTATCAGCATATGTGGTTTGTCTGTTCTTACTACATACCATTGTATCAGCATATGTGATGAGCTGTTCTTCAGAAACTTCTCTTTCTTTTTTCGACTGCTTGAGAAGGTCGTAAAGAAAATTCTGTAAAAAGCGAAAGTGCGAAAATGATGAAACCCGACGGTGACAGTCATCCAGTGACAGTAGAGTACATATTACTCCCTGTAACAATGTTGACATCCCTGCCATTATAACCTTGGTCACACCGACAGAACGACGATATGATTATACTTATTCATTATTGTTCATAGCATCTACCATTTGATTCGAGTAGAGGTGTGTTCAGAGTTCTAGCATATTTGGTTTCTGTACCAGTATGGTATCTAATTATTATTTGTGTGGTATAATTTCATTTGACAATAGGTCCTTCGTAAAACCTTACACCTGTACAGCCTATTATCTGCAGCTATTTAGAGGTGGTCTTTGTACCTTGAGTTCGTCTGCTTCAATGTAGCCGCTGTGGTCGGTGTCGTACTGGCGCCAGATCTGGAGACACACAGATAGGATTTTGTCGAAAAAAATATATTGCCCCAGGAAAAGCTTAAAAACAAAACTGTCAGCCGCGAAAAAAGTTTTGCTACAAGACTGTTTTTATACAAAAGTATTTAGGCTCATAGTTTGTTTGTTTTTAAATCAGGTTTTGCAGATGTAGCTGATAAAATAACTAGTCTCCACACAAAGTCTGTAAATCACATTATCATATAATGGAAAAACCAAGGCTCGCTAAATACAATGTTTATTCCTAATACAGGATATTTACCATCCCTAAATACACTCGCGTGATAACCTCTATGTATTACCAGCACATGAAGGGATATTTACACCTACCTTCATGAACTCCACGCTGGACTCTAAAGGATGTTCATGCCGAAATAACAACAGAAAATTTTCCTCCATAGGCAAAATCTGGGCTAACTGAAATATATTAAAAGCACAAAAAAGTTGACAGTAACTGCTGATGAACACAACCACTAACGGAAACTTCAGTCGCAGTTTTACTGATCTGGTGATATTACTAATAGAAAGTTCAATGAAAGTGTCCACATGTCCACCTCCTGCTCGGGCTACCTGCCTGTACCTGCCTGTACCTTGCGTCATGTTGCAAAAACTACACCTCAGCTTTAAAATCCCTCCTGTAAAGTTTGGTGTAACTTACGAGACATAATCGAGGAATGCCTAGAAGAATCAAAGAATCATCCCGAATAAACACAACCGTATCTTACAAAGACAGTTGACACACACTATAAACATGACTGGACAGAGGACAACAAGGCGGATGTGTAATCCCTAAAAGGGAGGAATCAAGCGTTCAATCAGTGGATGGCTTCTTCGGCGTTAACCTTACAGTCCTGCATCATTGTTACAACACATACCATGGCAAACGTTTCAAGGCTCGAGTATGTTTTCACATTCCAATTAAGTTAGTGTATTTAGTTGACCCAACATCTTCTCATCTGATCGATATTGAACTGGCTACACGATCCACGTATACTATCGACTGTGCTATGGCTGACACGAGCAAAACCCACTATTTCTGCAAATTGACATGGTATTAACTAAACGATTTATCGACAAGTCACGTTGCCTACGTTCACAAGTAACGAATGTCATATATGTTGTGGGAGTAAAGAACGACATATATTAAGGATCTATGATAAACATTGATGTGCTATATTCTTCACTACGGTCGACATCAATACAGGATAAAATATGAGTGTACCGTTAGGAGACAAACTTAAAGTTGCTCCCGACAACACACGCAATGCTACTGGAGGAGCATCCTTGGTGAACCAGGGTGCTATCTCCATTATATTGTAATGAGACCCTAAACCCTTCATGCCGGAAGTCACGTCACAATCTCATTTTCTCTTATCACTAAACTAGAAATGATATGACGTCTCGCTTATCACTATAACTTGATTGGACGGCTATTTTTAGCGTCATGTCCAAATGAAATTGATCGGGTGAACTTAAAATAACAGTATGGAGATACTGAATAATTGAAGATACAATTGTAGTGGCTGTAAAAGTTTCAGATAGTGCTGGTTGTAGCTGTCATGTAGGTACATGGTGGAAGTTTCAGATAGTGCTGGTTGTAGCTGTCATGTATGTACATAGTGGAAGTTTCAGATAGTGCTGGTTGTAGCTGTCATGTATGTACATGGTGGTAGTTGGACGTAGTGCTGGTTGTAGCTGTCATGTATGTACATGGTGGTAGTTGGACGTAGTGCTGGTTGTAGCTGTCATGTATGTACATGGTGGTAGTTGGAGGTAGTGCTGGTTGTAGCTGTCATGTAGGTACATGGTGGTAGTTGGAGGTAGTGCTGGTTGTAGCTGTCATGTAGGTACATGGTGGTAGTTGGAGGTAGTGCTGGTTGTAGCTGTCATGTATGTACATGGTGGTAGTTGGAGGTAGTGCTGGTTGTAGCTGTCATGTATGTACATGGTGGTAGTTGGAGGTAGTGCTGGTTGTAGCTGTCATGTAGGTACATGGTGGTAGTTGGAGGTAGTGCTGGTTGTAGCTGTCATGTATGTACATGGTGGAAGTTTCAGATAGTGCTGGTTGTAGCTGTCATGTAGGTACATGGTGGTAGTTGGAGGTAGTGCTGGTTGTAGCTGTCATGTATGTACAGTGGTAGTTGGAGGTAGTGCTGGTTGTAGCTGTCATGTATGTACATGGTGGAAGTTTCAGATAGTGCTGGTTGTAGCTGTCATGTATGTACATGGTGGTAGTTGGAGGTAGTGCTGGTTGTAGCTGTCATGTAGGTACATGGTGGTAGTTGGAGGTAGTGCTGGTTGTAGCTGTCATGTATGTACATGGTGGTAGTTGGAGGTAGTGCTGGTTGTAGCTGTCATGTAGGTACATGGTGGTAGTTGGAGGTAGTGCTGGTTGTAGCTGTCATGTATGTACATGGTGGAAGTTTCAGATAGTGCTGGTTGTAGCTGTCATGTAGGTACATGGTGGTAGTTGGAGGTAGTGCTGGTTGAAGCTGTCATGTATGTACATGGTGGTAGTTGGAGGTAGTGCTGGTTGTAGCTGTCATGTAGGTACATGGTGGTAGTTGGAGGTAGTGCTGGTTGTAGCTGTCATGTATGTACAGTGGTAGTTGGAGGTAGTGCTGGTTGTAGCTGTCATGTATGTACATGGTGGAAGTTTCAGATAGTGCTGGTTGTAGCTGTCATGTATGTACATGGTGGTAGTTGGAGGTAGTGCTGGTTGTAGCTGTCATGTATGTACATGTTGGTAGTTGGAGGTAGTGCTGGTTGTAGCTGTCATGTATGTACATGGTGGTAGTTGGAGGTAGTGCTGGTTGTAGCTGTCATGTATGTACATGGTGGTAGTTGGAGGTAGTGCTGGTTGTAGCTGTCATGTAGGTACATGGTGGTAGTTGGAGGTAGTGCTGGTTGTAGCTGTCATGTAGGTACATGGTGGTAGTTGGAGGTAGTGCTGGTTGTAGCTGTCATGTATGTACATGGTGGAAGTTTCAGATAGTGCTGGTTGTAGCTGTCATGTATGTACATGGTGGTAGTTGGAGGTAGTGCTGGTTGTAGCTGTCATGTATGTACAGTGGTAGTTGGAGGTAGTGCTGGTTGTAGCTGTCATCTATGTACATGGTGGAAGTTTCAGATAGTGCTGGTTGTAGCTGTCATGTATGTACATGGTGGTAGTTGGAGGTAGTGCTGGTTGTAGCTGTCATGTAGGTACATGGTGGTAGTTGGAGGTAGTGCTGGTTGTAGCTGTCATGTATGTACATGGTGGTAGTTGGAGGTAGTGCTGGTTGTAGCTGTCATGTAGGTACATGGTGGTAGTTGGAGGTAGTGCTGGTTGTAGCTGTCATGTATGTACATGGTGGTAGTTGGAGGTAGTGCTGGTTGTAGCTGTCATGTATGTACATGGTGGAAGTTTCAGACAGTGCTGGTTGTAGCTGTCATGTAGGTACATGGTGGTAGTTGGAGGTAGTGCTGGTTGTAGCTGTCATGTATGTACATGGTGGTAGTTGTAGGTAGTGCTGGTTGTAGCTGTCATGTAGGTACATGGTGGTAGTTGGAGGTAGTGCTGGTTGTAGCTGTCATGTATGTACAGTGGTAGTTGGAGGTAGTGCTGGTTGTAGCTGTCATGTATGTACATGGTGTTAGTTGGAGGTAGTGCTGGTTGTAGCTGTCATGTAGGTACATGGTGGTAGTTGGAGGTAGTGCTGGTTGTAGCTGTCATGTATGTACAGTGTTAGTTGGAGGTAGTGCTGGTTGTAGCTGTCATGTATGTACATGGTGGAAGTTTCAGATAGTGCTGGTTGTAGCTGTCATGTATGTACATGGTGGTAGTTGGAGGAAGTGCTGGTTGTAGCTGTCATGTAGGTACATGGTGGTAGTTGGAGGTAGTGCTGGTTGTAGCTGTCATGTATGTACATGGTGGTAGTTGGAGGTAGTGCTGGTTGTAGCTGTCATGTAGGTACATGGTGGTAGTTGGAGGTAGTGCTGGTTGTAGCTGTCATGTATGTACATGGTGGTAGTTGGAGGTAGTGCTGGTTGTAGCTGTCATGTAGGTACATGGTGGTAGTTGGAGGTAGTGCTGGTTGTAGCTGTCATGTATGTACATGGTGGAAGTTTCAGATAGTGCTGGTTGTAGCTGTCATGTATGTACATGGTGGTAGTTGGAGGTAGTGCTGGTTGTAGCTGTCATGTATTCACAGTCGTAGTTGGAGGTAGTGCTGGTTGTAGCTGTCATTTATTTACATGGTGGTAGTTGGAGGAAGTGCTGGTTGTAGCTGTCATGTAGGTACATGGTGGTAGTTGGAGGTAGTGCTGGTTGTAGCTGTCATGTATGTACAGTGGTAGCTGGAGGTAGTGCTGGCTGTAGCTGTCATGTATGTACAGTGGTAGTTGGAGGTAGTGCTGGTTGTAGCTGTATGGTGGTAGTTGGAGGTAGTGCTGGTTGTAGCTGTCATGTATGTACAGTGGTAGTTGGAGGTAGTGCTGGTTGTAGCTGTCATGTAGGTACATGGTGGTAGTGCTGGTTGTAGCTGTCATGTATGTACATGGTGGTAGTTGGAGGTAGTGCTGGTTGTAGCTGTCATGTATGTACAGTTGTAGTTGGAGGTAGTGCTGGTTGTAGCTGTCATGTATGTACATGGTGGTAGTTAGAGGTAGTGCTGGTTGTAGCTGTCATGTAGGTACATGGTGGTAGTTGTAGGTAGTGCTGGTTGTAGCTGTAATGTATGTACATGGTGGTAGTTGGAGGTAGTGCTGGTTGTAGCTGTCATGTATGTACAGTTGTAGTTGGAGGTAGTGCTGGTTGTAGCTGTCATGTATGTACATGGTGGTAGTTGGAGGTAGTGCTGGTTGTAGCTGTCATGTATGTACATGGTGGTAGTTGGAGGTAGTGCTGGTTGTAGCTGTCATGTATGTACATGGTGGTAGTTGGAGGTAGTGCTGGTTGTAGCTGTCATTTATGTATATGGTGGTAGTTGGAGGTAGTGCTGGTTGTAGCTGTCATGTATGTATATGGTGGTAGTTGGAGGAAGTGCTGATTGTAGCTGTCATGTAGGTACATGGTGGTAGTTGGAAGTTGTGCTGGTTGTAGCTGTCATGTATGTACAGTTGTAGTTGGAGGTAGTGCTGGTTGTAGCTGTCATGTATGTACATGGTGGTGAGGTGAGGTGTAATGAGGTGAAATTGGGTTTAACGTCGCGTCCGTACATGGTGGTAGTTGGAGGTAGTGCTGGTTGTAGCTGTCATGTATGTACAGTGTTAGTTGGAGGTAGTGCTGGTTGTAGCTGTCATGTAGGTACATGGTGGTAGTTGGAGGTAGTGCTGGTTGTAGCTGTCATGTAGGTACATGGTGGTAGTTGGAGGTAGTGCTGGTTGTAGCTGTCATGTATGTACATGGTGGTAGTTGGAGGTAGTGCTGGTTGTAGCTGTCATGTGTGTACAGTGGTAGTTGGAGGTAGTGCTGGTTGTAGCTGTCATGTAGGTACATGGTGGCAGTTGGAGGTAGTGCTGGTTGTAGCTGTCATGTAGGTACATGGAGGTAGTGCTGGTTGTAGCTGTCATTTATTTACATGGTGGTAGTTGGAGGTAGTGCTGGTTGTAGCTGTCATGTAGGTACATGGTGGTAGTTAGAGGTAGTGCTGGTTGTAGCTGTCATGTATGTACATGGTGGTAGTTGGAAGTAGTGCTGGTTGTAGCTGTCATGTATGTACATGGTGGTAGTTGGAGGTAGTGCTGGTTGTAGCTGTCATGTAGGTACATGGTGGTAGTTGTAGGTAGTGCTGGTTGTAGCTGTCATGTAGGTACATGGTGGTAGTTGGAGGCAGTGCTGGTTGTAGCTGTCATGTAGGTACATGGTGGTAGTTGGAAGTTGTGCTGGTTGTAGCTGTCATGTAGGTACATGGTGGTAGTTGGAGGTAGTGCTGGTTGTAGCTGTCATGTATGTACATGGTGGTAGTTGGAGGTAGTGCTGGTTGTAGCTGTCATGTATGTACAGTTGTAGTTGGAGGTAGTGCTGGTTGTAGCTGTCATGTATGTACATGGTGGTAGTTGGAGGTAGTGCTGGTTGTAGCTGTCATGTATGTACATGGTGGTAGTTGGAGGTAGTGCTGGTTGTAGCTGTCATGTATGTACATGGTGGTAGTTGGAGGTAGTGCTGGTTGTAGCTGTCATTTATGTATATGGTGGTAGTTGGAGGTAGTGCTGGTTGTAGCTGTCATGTATGTATATGGTGGTAGTTGGAGGAAGTGCTGATTGTAGCTGTCATGTAGGTACATGGTGGTAGTTGGAAGTTGTGCTGGCTGTAGCTGTCATGTATGTACAGTTGTAGTTGGAGGTAGTGCTGGTTGTAGCTGTCATGTATGTACATGGTGGTGAGGTGAGGTGTAATGAGGTGAAATTGGGTTTAACGTCGCGTCCGTACATGGTGGTAGTTGGAGGTAGTGCTGGTTGTAGCTGTCATGTATGTACATGGTGGTGAGGTGTGGTGAGGTGAAATTGGGTTGAACGTCGCGTCCGTACATGGTGGTAGTTGGAGGTAGTGCTGGTTGTAGCTGTCATGTATGTACAGTGTTAGTTGGAGGTAGTGCTGGTTGTAGCTGTCATGTAGGTACATGGTGGTAGTTGGAGGTAGTGCTGGTTGTAGCTGTCATGTAGGTACATGGTGGTAGTTGGAGGTAGTGCTGGTTGTAGCTGTCATGTATGTACATGGTGGTAGTTGGAGGTAGTGCTGGTTGTAGCTGTCATGTGTGTACAGTGGTAGTTGGAGGTAGTGCTGGTTGTAGCTGTCATGTAGGTACATGGTGGTAGTTGGAGGTAGTGCTGGTTGTAGCTGTCATGTAGGTACATGGAGGTAGTGCTGGTTGTAGCTGTCATTTATTTACATGGTGGTAGTTGGAGGTAGTGCTGGTTGTAGCTGTCATGTAGGTACATGGTGGTAGTTAGAGGTAGTGCTGGTTGTAGCTGTCATGTATGTACATGGTGGTAGTTGGAAGTAGTGCTGGTTGTAGCTGTCATGTATGTACATGGTGGTAGTTGGAGGTAGTGCTGGTTGTAGCTGTCATGTAGGTACATGGTGGTAGTTGGAGGTAGTGCTGGTTGTAGCTGTCATTTATTTACATGGTGGTAGTTGGAGGAAGTGCTGATTGTAGCTGTCATGTATGTACAGTGGTAGTTGGAGGTAGTGCTGGTTGTAGCTGTCATGTATGTACATGGTGGTAGTTGGAGGTAGTGCTGGTTGTAGCTACCATGTAGGTACATGGTGGTAGTTGGAGGTAGTGCTGGTTGTAGCTATCATGTACTTCCAGGTGGGTAGTTGGAGGTAGTGCTAGTTGTAGCTGTCATGTATGTACAGTGGTAGTTGGAGGTAGTGCTGGTTGTAGCTGTCATGTATGTACATGGTGGTAGTTGGAGGTAGTGCTGGTTGTAGCTATCATGTAGGTACATGGTGGTAGTTGGATGTAGTGCTGGTTGTAGCTGTCATGTATTCACAGTGGTAGTTGGAGGTAGTGCTGGTTGTAGCTGTCATTTATTTACATGGCGGTAGTTGGAGGAAGTGCTGATTGTAGCTGTCTTGTAGGTACATGGTGGTAGTTGGAGGTTGTGCTGGTTGTAGCTGTCATGTATGTACAGTGGTAGTTGGAGGTAGTGCTGGTTGTAGCTGTCATGTAGGTACAGTGGTAGTTGGAGGAAGTATTGGCTTTAGCTTCATGTACTAGTGGTAGTTTGAGGTATTTTTGATTGTAGTAACCTAATTATTGCTGTATTAAAATGAAATTGTAATGATGACGATGTTATTTACATGTATACCAGGGGGCCGCGTTTGGTCCAGAGGTCGGATAGCAAGTATTGCACTATGTCAGTGTTCAACCGTTCTTTACTTCAACATATGGATTAGTCATCCTTTATACGTGTGCTTCGTATTAGCGATTGGAAGGTGTACGCTGTCCGGGTTGTCTCTATTGTTCCTACCTCAGTGATGTCTATTTTCCCGTCTCCATTTTCATCAAAGGCGTTAAGCATAAGGTCCTTTGCATCATCCAGGGCAGCCTGAGACACCACCTGTGAGACAAGGCCAGATTCATTATAACAAACGTTCTCGAACAACAGTGTAGCAAGCTCTTAGCGCATAACCATGTGTTACACTGTCAATTACTAGTGTTGTTTGCCATGATAACGTAGCTTGACCTACAGAACTGTGTAATGTTGTAGAACATTTGACGTGCGATAGAGCGTACTCCATCTTCTATTCATGTTTATATTCCTTTTAACATCACAAACACCATCAACATTGATTTCCACAGTTGCTTGCAATATGTTACCATTCACAGCTGGGTAACGGACATATGACACATTTGTATTGATCATCGTCATCATCAGTAACGATAGTAACACAATTATGGATGTATGACATTAACATGCATTCTCGTATTGAAGCCTTTACTTCAGAACGCAATGTATGACCCTCTCTCAAGTTACTGCCCTTGCTATAACTCACTTGCTTACGTTGAGACGAGTCTTCCAGCACTGGCGTTCTTCACTTCGGATTAATCAGTTTAATAGCGAAACTCCCCGTTGGCAGATAAAATTACTACTTGTTAAAGAATGTGTGTAACACGACGGATATAACGATCAGTGAATTACTAGCAACTCTATAATCCCTAAATAGTATTTTTACTCTCTTTACGTGAAACCATGAAATATATAAGTAGGAGGTCACGAAATGAAATGTTAATACCAAGTATTACAACAAAGATAAGTGTGGACGACAAACATCCTGTGCAACAGCGTTTATGTCTGTCACACTTAACGCCAAAACACATCCTATAGTTAGTACGTGTCCCACGTTGAAGTGCCGGTGTCATTTCTGATTTTGACACGTTCAAAGAAGGTTGATTATCTCTGTTGAACATTATTTCTGTCAGTCTTGTTCAAATACTTGATTTTTTGTTTGTGTATGCACTAGCCATGTGGCGTCGGCAACGCGCGGAACGCCTACGGCTATTTGCATGCTGGAAACTGGCAGAAATCAGCGTGCAGTGGCCAATACGTTCAATGTTTCACAGTCTGTGATGAGCAGAGTATGGAACAGGTACCAACAAACCCAAATTGTTAACGACCGACCCCATTCAGTGAGTCCCAGGTCAATGGCAAGAGTACAGGGCCAACTGAACTGAAACCGGGCTCTACGAAATCAAATGGCGAATCAGATTGCTGCAAACATTCATCAGGCTAATGGAGCACGAGTCAGAGTCAGACGATGCAGCTCATCTCCATGCTCTTAGGCCACGTCTTGTGCCCCCCTCACAAATCGTCATATTTCAAACATACGCCAATGGTGTCCAGAACGTTGAAACTGGGGTCATCGTCGCTGGTCACGTGTTATTATTTCAGATTAATACACTTTGCCCTTCCTTGATAGGCGTGGTCGAGTATGACGACTTTGAAATGAACGTGAAGCCAATGTCAACCTGAGGCCCCGTGACAGATTTGGCGGTGAATCGGTTTAGGCGTGGGGTGGCTTCACTATGACTGACCGAGCCACATTACATACTGTGTAAGGAAAGGTCACTGGAAGTACTATCGGGACGCTGACACCCTTTGATGTCCCGTTTGCAAGGCGTGTGGGCCGACGTTTGTCTTTCAGGAGGACAACGTCCGTGCTCAATGGATCGTCAATATTTACATTTAGTACTAACTACTAAATGACTTTATCGCGCGTATCCAAACCATGGGCTAATTACGTCTGTAACCCAATCACCCCCCGTAACTCAATCACCCCGGGCCACCACTCGGCACCGTGCCCGGGGAATAATCCCGCGCAAGCATCATCCCGCCCTTTGTTAGTCCGTCATTCGCGAACAGCCCTTCCCCAAGTACACACGTGTGTCACTGTATCTAATCGCTTTCGCTTTGTACGTTTCCTTAGTACCCAGTCGCGACCGTTTCGCCGATTACGCTTTGAATACCATCTATTCCAACACTCGCCGTATCGCATTTACACAATCGCGACCGTTTCGCCGATTATTCTTTGAATACCACCTATTCCAGCACTCGCCGTATCGCATTTATTCCGTTCTACTCCCGAACATCACCCTCGGGACAATTTTACGCTTGTGGAATACCAACTCACCACCTCGACCTTTCGTGATGCCTCCCAAGAGAAGAGCAGCCGTCAACCACAAGCTTGTGAGGGGAGCCAAGCAGGCCAGGACAACCAGAAGACAAACCCCGGGAGTACACATTGTACAGGAGGCAACAGCTGATGGTGAGTCTGCCAATTACGGAAATATCGAAGGTGGCAACAGAATTAACGTACAATCGGCGCAGCTTGTAAATGCCGCGCAGGCTGCCAACTCGGCTACCCAGGTAAACGAGCAACTGGAAAAAATACTCCAGTTGCTGGAACATTCAGCGCCCGGCCCGGTTAGCGCAAACCAACAGGTAAGGCTTGGTTTTAGTTCTCCCGCCATTTCGCCCAACATAGGGAGAATCCCCGATGCTTACAACGAGGCCGACGGTGACGCGGCTTGGCCAGCCAATCACATCGCAGGATACGGGGATTCCCTTTCCTTCCGTGCGGACGGAATAGACGCGCACGTCAAACAAACGGTGAGGGAAAAGATCTGGCGTGGCGAGTATGTCGACCTCGGCACAATCCTACCAAACACCGAGGGAAGTCACGAGGACGGTACGATTACCATGGCGTACGACTCCTCAGGTAAGGTAATTTTTAAACCAATAAAGCAGCAACCAAAGCGCCTGTCCCTGGCAAGCTGGACTTCAGCTTTCCACATTTTCATGTGTATATATGTTAGTAGGCACTCCGAGGTCCGCACAACCCAGGGGTTGCTGTCCTACATGGAAACCATAAGAACGGCGGCACTTCGATTCGGGGGGGATGCCTGGTCAACCTACGACCAACAATTCCGACACAGAATGTCAAGGGACCCCTCACGACGCTGGGACAACATCGACGGGGAGTTGTGGCTAAAGTACATGGTAACACAGCCGGTACTACAACCAGAATCAGGCGGACGGGGCGCAATGACACGCGTACAGGGGGACATCGCCAGTCAGGTATGCTGGGATTTCAATAAATTTGGCTGTAGCAGGGTCAACTTTAAGTACACTCACAAATGCGGTAAGTGTGGCAAACATTCCCACAGCTCTAGGACCTGCTTTCGAGGGAATGGGGTCCAACCGACTCCATACAAGCCCAATCAGCCTTTTCCTAACAGAAAACCAGCCGTCAAGGCAGGTAAATTCAATGGCCCCTTCCCCCGTGGATCTCAATGAAATGGCACCCTGGTTACGCCAATATGCTAGGGTCAATTACAGAGATGCAAATTATTTATGGGTAGGTTTTAGCTCTGGCTTTAAGCTCGAGTTCCAGGGAAGCCGCACGGGTCGCCTGGCACGAAACTTACGATCAGCCACGCACCAAGACACGGCAGGCTACGTGAAACAAAAACTACAAAAGGAAGTCGACCTTGGCAGGATGGCGGGCCCCTTCAAGGACACCCCCCCCCCCCCCCCCCCTAGACAACCTCCAAGTATCCCCAATAGGCCTGGTGCCCAAGAAGCAGCCAGGATATGGTCAGCACCTGGGTAAGCATGCGGAGGAATTCCGCCTAATTCACCATCTATCCTATCCCAGGGGTAAATCTATAAATAACTTCATAGACACAGAGGCCTGCTCCGTTGTGTACGCCAGATTTGATGAAGCTACCCATATGGTTCAACAACTGGGAAAGGGAGCACTACTAGCAAAATCCGACATTCAGTCGGCCTTTAGAATCATACCAGTCCACCCATCCGATTTCGAGCTGCTAGGCATCAGATTCGAAGGTGAGTTCTATTTCGATAAATGCCTACCATTTGGCTGCTCCATATCTTGCGCCATATTTGAAACGTTTAGTACCTTCTTGCAATGGTGCATGCAATCGCATCTTCCAACGTGTCCGATCATGCATTACCTGGATGACTTCCTAACGGGGGGCACAGCAGGCACCAGCCACTGCTCAGACAACCCCAACGGATGCGTGAATACACTAGAACAGCTTGGGGTTCCTACTGCGCACGACAAGACGGTGGGCCCCACAACCAAACTGACATTCCTAGGGCTGGAAATCGACACCATTGCAATGGAGATCAGAATCCCAGAGTCCAAGATCAAGGAGGCAACAAGGGAAATCCAAGACATCCTGTCAACTGGTAACATCAAGGTCACAAAAAGGGCCCTTCAGTCCCTCATAGGCAAGCTTAACTTTATGTGCAGGGCTATACCAATGGCAAGGGCATTCAGCCGCAGGCTAACCGATCTGCTTAGCAAAGGTAAGCAACCATTTCACCACATTAGGATTACCAGCTGGGTCAAGGAAGACCTACAAATGTGGTTAACATTTCTTACGAGTTATAAAGGCATTTCAGTGTTTCAGGACCAACTATGGGTGGACAGCGATTACCTCCAGCTGTTTTCAGACGCAGCGGGTGGCGCCGGCTTTGGGGCCTACATGCAGGGCAAATGGTTTAACGGCGCATGGCCACCCCAGTGGGTGACGGATGGAACTACACGGGACTTGGCATCAATCCTTCGGATACAACCCCAGCTTCCTGACACCAAGATCATCGTATCCTCAATGCTGCACAGGCGCTACTGGCACGATGCCAGGGACCCACTAAAGATCGAGGGGATGCGGAAGAATATCAACCGTCGACTGGCCAACCGAGTCAAAGAGCTCGGCGGTACAATGGTGCCACATCCCCAGATCCTGGCATCAGACAAGACATGGTACGCCTGGGAGGGCGTCCACCCCAGTGACAAAGAACTGTGTGTGTTTACGGACAATTTATTGCATGCCCTGGCGCTTGTTATCTCCACAGGTTTGTGTTTCCTTTCAGTACATAGGCAAGCCGGGCAACAATGCTATCTCCGCGTATCGCGTGGCCGGGGGTGTGGGGTAGCACTCTGGTGCTATGTGGCGGGGTTCTTGTGGGCTACACTGCTAGTAACAAATTAACTTGCTTCCAAATTAATACTCGTGCTTAAGGCTACCTGCTTTTCAGCGGGAACCTTTCCGGGGTTACCTGCTTCTCAGTGGGAACCTTGTCTTTCCCGACTTTTCAGCCGGGGAATCGTAAAATAACATACGTTGGGGCAAACAATTGCCACGTATATGGGCCCGGCGGCGGAAGTCGTCTTGTCAAGTAGTAGCTGACAGTTGGGTCCGCGGCGTGGGAGCCGCACAATGGTTTTGCTAATGGGGCCGGGCAGTGGGATCTGCTTTGGCCGGCTACCTGGGGCCGGGCAGCGGTAGTCTGACTTAGGCCAGCAGCGTGGAGCTGCTTTTGGCAACGTGGGAGTTGTCAAGCAATGGTAGCGGTTAAATATGCTACAGGACAGCGGAAGCAGTCTCAGGCCAGCAGCGCTAGCTGCAATCGCCGTTGGCCACGCGCGTGGCCATGGCAACGGTAGCATTTTGGTATACACAATTAGCAGCTAAGTAGCCCACTAGTACCTGCACACCCTCGGCCATTTAACCCAATCTCATCTTCTGTTTTTATTATAGGCACGGGCATCCACGGCTCGGTGGCCCGTGCCTCTCCTTGGCATATCGCGGGATAATCACCTCACGCAGCATAACATCCATAGAATGAATGCCCTGACCAACAATGAGCCCAGGCCTTTACCCCATTAACCTGTCTGGGGACATGATAGGGAGACGTGTGAGTTAAGGTCATAGGCTGCCGACCACGTTGGCTGGATCAGGCGATGTAAGAGGAATGGGGCAGACACAGTGTGCCTCCTCGAGTGAATGAATATTTGACAAACCATGACGGTAGTACGCACTACTGATCCAAAAACAACTTTTGAAATTTGCCATCTTACCCCTATCGTCCTTCAAGATCGTTGGTGGTCACAACAACTACTGTCATACTTCACTACCGGTTGTAATGTGTTCCCTATTCGTACATTATCAGCATACATTCATCAGTGGAAACTAATATCTCTTACAACTTTTATCTCGGAGTATCCCCTACTTTTCTTAAGAGTATATGCATGTTACGATCGGTCATTGTGTCTCAGTGTTTTTCTACAAACATAAACTGTCAATGATCGACACAGCACAGGGCGTAACAACACAAGTCAATGTTCGAATAATCAGAAACCAGGCTTTAAGAAATCGAGCCGAACAACCAAACAAATCTCTGTTCACTTGCGCCAGGCAACTGGAGATCAAGTCACTGACGAGACGATTAGAAATCATCTGCATGCAGCTAATCTGCTCGGCGACCTTGTGTTGTACCACCGTTAACAAATCGACACATTTTAGCCAGACGCCAATGGTGTTTTGAGCGATAAAACTGGGGGAAATGTTTTGAGATGAGTCCATATTCACTTTGGATTTTCTGTATAGGTGTGGACGTACCCGGGGGCGTCCTTACGAACGTCACGCGAACGTCAACGTCAGGCGATATGACAGATTTGGGGTTGGGTCGATGATGTTATAGGGTATGACCACAATGACTACCAGAAAGCCATTGTATCATTCCACGGTGGGGACGCTCGACAGTAGTTCCGAGACAACATACTGACGCCAATAGCTGTGCCGTTTACGCAACATGCTCTTCCACGTTGCGCCTTTCAAGACGATATCGCTCGTGGCCACAGTGCAAGAATCTAAACTGAATACCTCCCCAGCAAAACATAACGAGAATGACCAGAGTCCTGACCTTCCCCAAGGGAGAGCACGTTTGGGACATGATCGGCAGACGTACCGACCGACTTCAAATGCCACCTGCTACGTTAGTTGAACTGGGCCGGCGCTGTAAGAGGAGTGGACAAGACTCCCTCAAATAGTTTTTGGGAGGTGGATGTACGCCGTATAAATGAATGTTTCACCAATCGTAGGGGCATGACCCATTATTGATCAAGTCATCTCAAACGTTCAAATTTTTAACTACACACCCTTGTCGTCTTCCTTGGATGTCTGTCCCACTACAATACACCGCCAGCATGGTCTGTTGATTGTCATATTACACCTGGTCCTTCTTTTTTCTTATCTACCAATTACGTCATTCGATTTTGTTTTGTATTTCTGTAATCATCTGTTATTTTGGAATATCCCCTACTTCTAGGGGAGAGTATAGGTTCCCAAATACTAATGGATGAGTTCTAAAACCATTCACACTTTGAACATGCAGTGTATTTATATGCTGTCTTATATTGGTCTATATATCTAATGATAATTATATATTGCACTCTTCAGTAAACATGAATCTGTAACAAAACGGAAACAGTATGTTGTACACACGGCATGTTCCAATGGACCACTGATGGCGACACGGATGCGTCAACAATATAACACAGGAATAGGCAACAAAGCATTAAACAGAGTTGATACGAGTCTTAAGTTTATTATCAAGGCCTGAGATTTGGGTGAGTGAGTATTGTTTTACGCCGCTTTTAGCAATATTCCAACAATATCACGGCGGGGGACACTAGAAAAGGGCTTCACACATTGTACCCATGTGGGGAATCGAACCCGGGTCTTCGGCGTGACGAGCGAACGCAAACCACTGGGCTACCCCACTGCCCTAAGATGTTGGTATTGAGGGAGTGTGTGTGTGTTTGTGACAATGGCGTAACATCGATAAAAAACCCGGGTATGCTTATTTGTTGGTAGACTACCCGACTCACCTCTGGGCCTACATCCTGGACGTTGACGCTGGTCACGAGCTCGTACAGGAACTGATCCAGCTCCGTGCCCTCGATATAGCCGTTCCCTGCATGGACATTGAGATACATTCTACAATGCAGCCTGCAGAGTTGTAATCATATACATGTAACACCAAGAAGGGATTCATTCACATACCCTCAGAGTCATAGATGGAGGGAGAAAGAAGAATGTTTGTCTTACATTCTACACACATTACATAAATCTATCCAAGTATCAGCTCGTGTAAAAGACACCCAAATGAAACATGCATTTAAACTCAAACAAGGGTTTACAAATATCGTAGCCGATATTTCTATGAAGAGCGAACATATCTGAGTTTATGTGTGTCACAAATCAAAAGCAGAACTAAGGATATACATCACACGTTATTACAAACGAAAAAAGAAAAAAATACTTTAGGTTGATTACATTTATTACAGTCAGCAATATTTCACATCAGGTTAAATGGCATTATATACTCACACGCAAAAGAAACGCAAGTCAAGTATGCAGTATATATGTTATTTATTTTCAACAGTAAAGACAAGAAATACTAATAGGGCAATATTGACAAACATTTGACTGAACACAGTTTAATGGATTCAAAGGCAGATGACATAATTGTTTTTTTCAAATGTTAAGGGCTTACACAGTTTCGGGTCAATACCCAAAATGTCAGTCAATACCTGATGTGACCACCATTAGCGTTGACCACTGCCCCACATCTCCTGTACAAGTGTTCGATGGGGTTCAGATCAGGGCTGAGGGCTGGCCACGGTAAAACACGGATGTTGTGTCGTTGCAGAAAGGCCATGGTAGCTCTGGCAACATGGGGACGAGCGTTGTCCTGCTGGATAATGTGTTGTTGATGTTGTGCAAAAAATGGAACAACGTGGGGTCTGATCACTTGGTCGATATACCGCTGAGCAGTGACATCGTGTCCCCGACCTTCAGAAAGCACATGGTTCCAAGTCTCGCATTAAGTCCAATCCCTGCCCATATCATGACGCTAGGTCCACCCCATGGATCCCTTTCCACAACGTTTCTGTCAGCGAAACGATCACCTCGACGCCGCCAAATTCTGACTCTTCCGTCTGCATGGGAGACACAAAAGCGACTTTCATCAGAGAAGATGACACGCCTCCACTCACGATGACGCCAATTGCGATGACAATGTGCCCACTGAAGTCGTGGTTGTCGATGCCGTGGTTGGAGAACAGGACGACGTGCTGGTCGGCGACATCTGAGGTTGTTGGAACGGAGACGTCGGATCACAGTGTCCCGGCTAATGTGTCGATTACGTGTTCCTATGGTCTGTCGAGCACTTTCACTTGCAGTTAGGAACGGATGTCGCTGGTGTTGACGGGTAATCTGCCGATTTTATCGAGGTGTGGTGACCCTAGGACGACCGCTCCGAGGAAGGTCACCTGTGGTATGTGTAGCATTGTATCGATGCAGGAGACGGTAAATTGTGGCTATGTAAACGTTGAAATGACGGGCAACATCTTGGACAGACTATCCAGCTTCCAAACGTCCGATAGCCTGGTTTCTCTGAATTTAAGTTAGGCGTGGCATTGTTGACCAAGGAGTGGTAGGTCCAAGAATCGGCCACAGTTTTATACCCACTACAGTTCGTGACTGTTCGTGCATTTTCGATTTCGCAAGAAATGGGTGCATGATACCCACATAGTCATTGAAATGGTGCGTTTTGGCGATTCGTTTTTTATGTTGCGTTTTTACTCGGGGCTTCCAAAATGCAACCAAAAATATTGATAACACCATCAGGCTTCACTACATGATAAAACTCGTATCAATTTATGGTTCCGTGTTTGTTACCTATTTGCTTAAAACCACTTGCGTTTTTTTTGCGTGTGAGTATATTACAAAAGATAATAGTGTTGAGAGTTCTTTGTTTTTGCACAGAAAAGCAGTATAGTCAATTCTGTCATAGCATTCAAATGTCCTTTTTTCACATGTTCAGGTGTCCAATTTAAAGGTCCGTGATGAATGTCCGAGTTAGGGTCCGCAAGTAGGAGCAATCACATTAAGGCAAAAGCCTCTCTCCTGGCCAGGTCTCACGACAGTGAAAGATCAACTGTCTCTGAAATCTGCTACGACATGGCTTTATATAATAGAGTCAGTGACAAAACGCATGCTTTTCACATTTCAAAATTGTGTGTTTTGGCAACCCGTTCCAGTATTAAGGATGACATCTACCCCTACCAAAATAATCCCAAAAGATATGCTAAAAGAGCACATGATGTGACAATGTGTACCAAGAACGTCAAAAGAATTATCTGTACTGCAAGCACACCATCTATCAGGATTGTACTGATATTATTGTAACAGTGCTAAAATTGCTATATTTTATTCAACTTTTTGTCAAATTCGCCTTCAATTCATAAGTTGTCGGTTAACCATTTAAGACCTGTCGGTACATACTAGCGATAAGAAATTGTATAACAACATCTGGCACTTCAGATTTACGCCGCTTGAAACAGGTCGGTGGGCGAAACTTTAATTACATGTTGAATAACAACTGGTAGTGGTCAGCGCGTTCGGCACTTACCAGTGTACCGTTATCAGCTATTTAGCGGCAACTGACCAAACTAGAAAATTGAAAACGCGAAACCAAACAGGAGCTGAATGGTTCTATCGGCATTTATAATCTTCTATTACTCAACTTTCCAAACTGACCGTCTGCTTTGGCTATTAACAGACCAAACCCATCATACAAAATTGTATAACATGTCCAGTCTTTATTAGTCCAAAGTCTCAAATTTCAAACTTGACATGCACGTGTAGACTTGCCTTCAGATTAACAAAGGAGGTCTCAGGTATAAATATAGGGGGAAATCGACTGTTAGTCATTCCTGCTTTGCCTGAGAACCTCTCTCTGTTTGTCTTTGAAGGTAAGTCACTTTTACTTGTTACTTTGGCATTTAGGTTGAACTTTGCTTAAAATTGTCTTTTAAAATTGTCTTTAATTTTGTATGAATATCTTGCTTGAACAATGAATTTATACTCTATGTATTCGAAATGCCGTGCGAATCTAAGCTGCATATTATTCAAGTTTTACTGACACAAATTAACTACAGTAACTTATATGCGTGCGTCGCATGTAGAAATATAACTATTCCACGATCAGCGTTCATATCCCACATGTTTATTTATCGGGTTAAAACTACTAGGCAAATACATTTGTAATTATTAATCACAGGTGTCGTGGATGCTTCATAATTATCATGTTTTAATGTGGATAGCGTGCATTATAATAATGTATGAATTATTTGTCCATGTATCGGTAGGACCACTATTCATATGTGTGTCGTGTTATTTACCTTATTGTATGCTGTATCGTAAGTAGAGTGGTTTTATAATGCAACAACGTTAAATGCGTCAATATGCATTAACATGATCCAGTTACTCGATATAATTTACGTTATGTATATTTGTTTGCGTTCTTATGCCTGATAAATACGGTTCAAGAATATAACTTATATCCGATGTTCATGCATCAAATATATTCTTTATATACAAAACCAGTACAGTGCAAGTACAGCAAAGTATATTATTCTTATCTGTAGCCCAAAAATATATTTCTTATTAGGTAACTACTTTGTGATGGCATAGCACTAGACCACAATACACGAACGTAACTTTTGTTCTAGATAAATGCACGCAATTTAAGCAATGCCTGATAAATTTATGTTTTCCAATTTATGCATATTATTTCCATTCGGTAAGATGAATGGACGCTGTATAGAATATCTCAGATACTATACTTTTAGCATAATTTGGACGCTACAGATAACGTAGTAGTTTTATGTTGTAGAATAGTTATAATGAAACAGGATTCCCTATAGCAGTGTTTATATCCATTTCTAAATTACAGTTCACAAGCAATTTCTCTGTTTGGCGAAATCTCCAATAAGGTTCATAAACATTCACAATAGAATATACGTTCACTAATAATCAGTTTTAATTCATATATATTTCAAGTTTCAAATACGGTATTCATTCATGTGTGATTTGTATAAGCTCGGCCCGCATAGCGCGGCATGCACAGGCGGCACCGCTCATTGTTATATAACGGCACACTCACCAGCGCTCGGCAGTGACGTCACGTACCGTATTTAACCATTTTGCGCATAGCTGTTATCTGAGTTTAGTATAGTGTATTCAGTCATTGAATGCAGGTTCCAGTATTATTTACCGTATTAAATCTTGTATTCGCTATTATCTCTGAAGTGTACACCTGAATCAGCTATAGTTCATGACGTCACATGTACCGTATTTAATGTAAAATAAGTTATCAGACATGTCTTTGTTCAAGAAAGGTGTTGTAATAATCTTTCATATGAATGCTTTTTGTAAACATTGTTCAGATGTTATTTATGAGCACCTTAAATATATATATCAAACATTATGAGTAATTATCAATGAGTAATTTAATTTGAATTGATTATAATGTCTGCCTTATATCAAATGTTCACTGCTATGATATAAATGAATATCCAATGAGTTGAGCTTACACTTTACACATTGTTATTATTTTACAAATGGTATTTTAATTATAAATGTGTTACGTAATCTTATGCAATGTTATATTAGGCTGTAACTTGAATAGGTACTCAGACGTCTCTGAAGTTAATGCATTGTTCTCAAAGTGAGATCACATAACAAGCAATTGTTTATTAACTCATGCCTATTATATAACAAAGAATATCTTAACAGTTTTTGTATCACTGCTTAATTATTTGTCTGATTATGTCTTTGTGTTTGATGATGAAGGAGATTGTCTGACTATGTCTATCATGTTAATGCATATTGACGCATTTAACGTTGTTGCATTATAAAACCACTCTACTTACGATACAGAATACAATAAGGTAAATAACACGACACACATATGAATAGTGGTCCTACCGATACATGGACAAATAATTCATACATTATTATAATGCACGCTATCCACATTAAAACATGATAATTATGAAGCATCCACGACACCTGTGATTAATAATTACAAATGTATTTGCCTAGTAGTTTTAACCCGATAAATAA